GTCTGTGGCGCTGACCAGGCTCTCGGTGAGCTGTTTAGCCGGTCTCCCTCATGCCCAAACTCTTGTGGGATCCTGCGCCTGGCAGTCGGCGTGGTTGCCCCACACTCGCCGACAAAAAAGGTGGGTCGTCTGTAAACGTAGGCACCAGCACGCTCGCAGATGGCGGGTGAGCTGTGGGTGGCGGGTGAGCAGGGGTAGGAAGGCTAGGAAGCAAGCAGCGGCGCGAGGGGCGGTAAAAAGTGTTTGTTCGTAAAAAGTGTTGTGTGCCGTAAAAAGTGGACACTGGGGGTATCGATCCCCCTACCTCCCGCATGCGAAGCGGGCGCTCTACCATTTGAGCTAAGCGCCCAGACACAAACCCAAACCGCAACGCAATCGACGCGCTCAGACCAACACACACACACACACGCACACGCCAACTCGCCACAAAACACACCAAACAAAACGACACACAACCGCCTCACAGCGCCATCCCTCCACACATCGCCAAGCAAGCCTCCGCACCCATTACAACGATCGTCCTCTCCACCAGCACATTAGCACCCGTGAGGCGCCAGCATCCACGCCTTGTCGATTCTCCGCGCTCCGCCATGGTCCACTGCCTCACATACCCGAAGCCTCGAACCGCCAGGCCGGGAGCCACCCGCCTCCGAAACAAAAATGTCAAGCAGCTGGCTGACTCGAACCCTACTCGTCCGACCGGCCAGTGGCCCGGACAGAGGTGACACACAGCACAGAGCACACAGCACACAGCTGGGCGTTTGGTCTGTGGCGCTGACCAGGCTCTCGGTGAGCTGTTTAGCCGGTCTCCCTCATGCCCAAACTCTTGTGGGATCCTGCGCCTGGCAGTCGGCGTGGTTGCCCCACACTCGCCGACAAAAAAGGTGGGTCGTCTGTAAACGTAGGCACCAGCACGCTCGCAGATGGCGGGTGAGCTTGGGTGGCGGGTGAGCAGGGGTAGGAAGGCTAGGAAGCAAGCAGCGGCGCGAGGGGCGGTAAAAAGTGTTTGTTCGTAAAAAGTGTTGTGTGCCGTAAAAAGTGGACACTGGGGGTATCGATCCCCCTACCTCCCGCATGCGAAGCGGGCGCTCTACCATTTGAGCTAAGCGCCCAGACACAAACCCAAACCGCAACGCAATCGACGCGCTCAGACCAACACACACACACACACACGCACACGCCAACTCGCCACAAAACACACCAAACAAAACGACGCACAACCGCCTCACAGCGCCATCCCTCCACACATCGCCAAGCAAGCCTCCGCACCCATTACAACGATCGTCCTCTCCACCAGCACATTAGCACCCGTGAGGCGCCAGCATCCACGCCTTGTCGATTCTCCGCGCTCCGCCATGGTCCACTGCCTCACATACCCGAAGCCTCGAACCGCCAGGCCGGGAGCCACCCGCCTCCGAAAACAAAAATGTCAAGCAGCTGGCTGACTCGAACCCTACTCGTCCGACCGGCCAGTGGCCCGGACAGAGGTGACACACAGCACAGAGCACAGAGCACACAGCACACAGCTGGGCGTTTGGTCTGTGGCGCTGACCAGGCTCTCGGTGAGCTGTTTAGCCGGTCTCCCTCATGCCCAAACTCTTGTGGGATCCTGCGCCTGGCAGTCGGCGTGGTTGCCCCACACTCGCCGACAAAAAAGGTGGGTCGTCTGTAAACGTAGGCACCAGCACGCTCGCAGATGGCGGGTGAGCTGTGGGTGGCGGGTGAGCAGGGGTAGGAAGGCTAGGAAGCAAGCAGCGGCGCGAGGGGCGGTAAAAAGTGTTTGTTCGTAAAAAGTGTTGTGTGCCGTAAAAAGTGGACACTGGGGGTATCGATCCCCCTACCTCCCGCATGCGAAGCGGGCGCTCTACCATTTGAGCTAAGCGCCCAGACACAAACCCAAACCGCAACGCAATCGACGCGCTCAGACCAACACACACACACACACGCACACGCCAACTCGCCACAAAACACACCAAACAAAACCACACACAACCGCCTCACAGCGCCATCCCTCCACACATCGCCAAGCAAGCCTCCGCACCCATTACAACGATCGTCCTCTCCACCAGCACATTAGCACCCGTGAGGCGCCAGCATCCACGCCTTGTCGATTCTCCGCGCTCCGCCATGGTCCACTGCCTCACATACCCGAAGCCTCGAACCGCCAGGCCGGGAGCCACCCGCCTCCGAAACAAAAATGTCAAGCAGCTGGCTGACTCGAACCCTACTCGTCCGACCGGCCAGTGGCCCGGACAGAGGTGACACACAGCACAGAGCACACAGCACACAGCTGGGCGTTTGGTCTGTGGCGCTGACCAGGCTCTCGGTGAGCTGTTTAGCCGGTCTCCCTCATGCCCAAACTCTTGTGGGATCCTGCGCCTGGCAGTCGGCGTGGTTGCCCCACACTCGCCGACAAAAAAGGTGGGTCGTCTGTAAACGTAGGCACCAGCACGCTCGCAGATGGCGGGTGAGCTGTGGGTGGCGGGTGAGCAGGGGTAGGAAGGCTAGGAAGCAAGCAGCGGCGCGAGGGGCGGTAAAAAGTGTTTGTTCGTAAAAAGTGTTGTGTGCCGTAAAAAGTGGACACTGGGGGTATCGATCCCCCTACCTCCCGCATGCGAAGCGGGCGCTCTACCATTTGAGCTAAGCGCCCAGACACAAACCCAAACCGCAACGCAATCGACGCGCTCAGACCAACACACACACACACACACACGCACACGCCAACTCGCCACAAAACACACCAAACAAAACCACACACAACCGCCTCACAGCGCCATCCCTCCACACATCGCCAAGCAAGCCTCCGCACCCATTACAACGATCGTCCTCTCCACCAGCACATTAGCACCCGTGAGGCGCCAGCATCCACGCCTTGTCGATTCTCCGCGCTCCGCCATGGTCCACTGCCTCACATACCCGAAGCCTCGAACCGCCAGGCCGGGAGCCACCCGCCTCCGAAACAAAAATGTCAAGCAGCTGGCTGACTCGAACCCTACTCGTCCGACCGGCCAGTGGCCCGGACAGAGGTGACACACAGCACAGAGCACACAGCACACAGCTGGGCGTTTGGTCTGTGGCGCTGACCAGGCTCTCGGTGAGCTGTTTAGCCGGTCTCCCTCATGCCCAAACTCTTGTGGGATCCTGCGCCTGGCAGTCGGCGTGGTTGCCCCACACTCGCCGACAAAAAAGGTGGGTCGTCTGTAAACGTAGGCACCAGCACGCTCGCAGATGGCGGGTGAGCTGTGGGTGGCGGGTGAGCAGGGGTAGGAAGGCTAGGAAGCAAGCAGCGGCGCGAGGGGCGGTAAAAAGTGTTTGTTCGTAAAAAGTGTTGTGTGCCGTAAAAAGTGGACACTGGGGGTATCGATCCCCCTACCTCCCGCATGCGAAGCGGGCGCTCTACCATTTGAGCTAAGCGCCCAGACACAAACCCAAACCGCAACGCAATCGACGCGCTCAGACCAACACACACACACACACACACACGCCAACTCGCCACAAAACACACCAAACAAAACCACACACAACCGCCTCACAGCGCCATCCCTCCACACATCGCCAAGCAAGCCTCCGCACCCATTACAACGATCGTCCTCTCCACCAGCACATTAGCACCCGTGAGGCGCCAGCATCCACGCCTTGTCGATTCTCCGCGCTCCGCCATGGTCCACTGCCTCACATACCCGAAGCCTCGAACCGCCAGGCCGGGAGCCACCCGCCTCCGAAAACAAAAATGTCAAGCAGCTGGCTGACTCGAACCCTACTCGTCCGACCGGCCAGTGGCCCGGACAGAGGTGACACACAGCACAGAGCACAGAGCACACAGCACAAAGCTGGGCGTTTGGTCTGTGGCGCTGACCAGGCTCTCGGTGAGCTGTTTAGCCGGTCTCCCTCATGCCCAAACTCTTGTGGGATCCTGCGCCTGGCAGTCGGCGTGGTTGCCCCACACTCGCCGACAAAAAAGGTGGGTCGTCTGTAAACGTAGGCACCAGCACGCTCGCAGATGGCGGGTGAGCTTGGGTGGCGGGTGAGCAGGGGTAGGAAGGCTAGGAAGCAAGCAGCGGCGCGAGGGGCGGTAAAAAGTGTTTGTTCGTAAAAAGTGTTGTGTGCCGTAAAAAGTGGACACTGGGGGTATCGATCCCCCTACCTCCCGCATGCGAAGCGGGCGCTCTACCATTTGAGCTAAGCGCCCAGACACAAACCCAAACCGCAACGCAATCGACGCGCTCAGACCAACACACACACACACACGCACACGCCAACTCGCCACAAAACACACCAAACAAAACGACGCACAACCGCCTCACAGCGCCATCCCTCCACACATCGCCAAGCAAGCCTCCGCACCCATTACAACGATCGTCCTCTCCACCAGCACATTAGCACCCGTGAGGCGCCAGCATCCACGCCTTGTCGATTCTCCGCGCTCCGCCATGGTCCACTGCCTCACATACCCGAAGCCTCGAACCGCCAGGCCGGGAGCCACCCGCCTCCGAAAACAAAAATGTCAAGCAGCTGGCTGACTCGAACCCTACTCGTCCGACCGGCCAGTGGCCCGGACAGAGGTGACACACAGCACAGAGCACAGAGCACACAGCACACAGCTGGGCGTTTGGTCTGTGGCGCTGACCAGGCTCTCGGTGAGCTGTTTAGCCGGTCTCCCTCATGCCCAAACTCTTGTGGGATCCTGCGCCTGGCAGTCGGCGTGGTTGCCCCACACTCGCCGACAAAAAAGGTGGGTCGTCTGTAAACGTAGGCACCAGCACGCTCGCAGATGGCGGGTGAGCTGTGGGTGGCGGGTGAGCAGGGGTAGGAAGGCTAGGAAGCAAGCAGCGGCGCGAGGGGCGGTAAAAAGTGTTTGTTCGTAAAAAGTGTTGTGTGCCGTAAAAAGTGGACACTGGGGGTATCGATCCCCCTACCTCCCGCATGCGAAGCGGGCGCTCTACCATTTGAGCTAAGCGCCCAGACACAAACCCAAACCGCAACGCAATCGACGCGCTCAGACCAACACACACACACACACACACACACACACGCACACGCCAACTCGCCACAAAACACACCAAACAAAACCACACACAACCGCCTCACAGCGCCATCCCTCCACACATCGCCAAGCAAGCCTCCGCACCCATTACAACGATCGTCCTCTCCACCAGCACATTAGCACCCGTGAGGCGCCAGCATCCACGCCTTGTCGATTCTCCGCGCTCCGCCATGGTCCACTGCCTCACATACCCGAAGCCTCGAACCGCCAGGCCGGGAGCCACCCGCCTCCGAAAACAAAAATGTCAAGCAGCTGGCTGACTCGAACCCTACTCGTCCGACCGGCCAGTGGCCCGGACAGAGGTGACACACAGCACAGAGCACAGAGCACACAGCACACAGCTGGGCGTTTGGTCTGTGGCGCTGACCAGGCTCTCGGTGAGCTGTTTAGCCGGTCTCCCTCATGCCCAAACTCTTGTGGGATCCTGCGCCTGGCAGTCGGCGTGGTTGCCCCACACTCGCCGACAAAAAAGGTGGGTCGTCTGTAAACGTACGCTCGCAGATGGCGGGTGAGCTGTGGGTGGCGGGTGAGCAGGGGTAGGAAGGCTAGGAAGCAAGCAGCGGCGCGAGGGGCGGTAAAAAGTGTTTGTTCGTAAAAAGTGTTGCGTGCCGTAAAAGTGGACACTGGGGGTATCGATCCCCCTGCCTCCCGCATGCGAAGCGGGCGCTCTACCATTTGAGCTAAGCGCCCAGACACAAACCCAAACCGCAACGCAATCGACGCGCTCAGACCAACACACACACACACACACACGCACACGCCAACTCGCCACAAAACACACCAAACAAAACGACGCACAACCGCCTCACAGCGCCATCCCTCCACACATCGCCAAGCAAGCCTCCGCACCCATTACAACGATCGTCCTCTCCACCAGCACATTAGCACCCGTGAGGCGCCAGCATCCACGCCTTGTCGATTCTCCGCGCTCCGCCATGGTCCACTGCCTCACATACCCGAAGCCTCGAACCGCCAGGCCGGGAGCCACCCGCCTCCGAAAACAAAAATGTCAAGCAGCTGGCTGACTCGAACCCTACTCGTCCGACCGGCCAGTGGCCCGGACAGAGGTGACACACAGCACACAGCACAGAGCACACAGCACAAAGCTGGGCGTTTGGTCTGTGGCGCTGACCAGGCTCTCGGTGAGCTGTTTAGCCGGTCTCCCTCATGCCCAAACTCTTGTGGGATCCTGCGCCTGGCAGTCGGCGTGGTTGCCCCACACTCGCCGACAAAAAAGGTGGGTCGTCTGTAAACGTAGGCACCAGCACGCTCGCAGATGGCGGGTGAGCTGTGGGTGGCGGGTGAGCAGGGGTAGGAAGGCTAGGAAGCAAGCAGCGGCGCGAGGGGCGGTAAAAAGTGTTTGTTCGTAAAAAGTGTTGTGTGCCGTAAAAAGTGGACACTGGGGGTATCGATCCCCCTACCTCCCGCATGCGAAGCGGGCGCTCTACCATTTGAGCTAAGCGCCCAGACACAAACCCAAACCGCAACGCAATCGACGCGCTCAGACCAACACACACACACACACACGCACACGCCAACTCGCCACAAAACACACCAAACAAAACGACACACAACCGCCTCACAGCGCCATCCCTCCACACATCGCCAAGCAAGCCTCCGCACCCATTACAACGATCGTCCTCTCCACCAGCACATTAGCACCCGTGAGGCGCCAGCATCCACGCCTTGTCGATTCTCCGCGCTCCGCCATGGTCCACTGCCTCACATACCCGAAGCCTCGAACCGCCAGGCCGGGAGCCACCCGCCTCCGAAAACAAAAATGTCAAGCAGCTGGCTGACTCGAACCCTACTCGTCCGACCGGCCAGTGGCCCGGACAGAGGTGACACACAGCACAGAGCACAGAGCACACAGCACACAGCTGGGCGTTTGGTCTGTGGCGCTGACCAGGCTCTCGGTGAGCTGTTTAGCCGGTCTCCCTCATGCCCAAACTCTTGTGGGATCCTGCGCCTGGCAGTCGGCGTGGTTGCCCCACACTCGCCGACAAAAAAGGTGGGTCGTCTGTAAACGTAGGCACCAGCACGCTCGCAGATGGCGGGTGAGCTGTGGGTGGCGGGTGAGCAGGGGTAGGAAGGCTAGGAAGCAAGCAGCGGCGCGAGGGGCGGTAAAAAGTGTTTGTTCGTAAAAAGTGTTGTGTGCCGTAAAAAGTGGACACTGGGGGTATCGATCCCCCTGCCTCCCGCATGCGAAGCGGGCGCTCTACCATTTGAGCTAAGCGCCCAGACACAAACCCAAACCGCAACGCAATCGACGCGCTCAGACCAACACACACACACGCACACGCCAACTCGCCACAAAACACACCAAACAAAACGACGCACAACCGCCTCACAGCGCCATCCCTCCACACATCGCCAAGCAAGCCTCCGCACCCATTACAACGATCGTCCTCTCCACCAGCACATTAGCACCCGTGAGGCGCCAGCATCCACGCCTTGTCGATTCTCCGCGCTCCGCCATGGTCCACTGCCTCACATACCCGAAGCCTCGAACCGCCAGGCCGGGAGCCACCCGCCTCCGAAAACAAAAATGTCAAGCAGCTGGCTGACTCGAACCCTACTCGTCCGACCGGCCAGTGGCCCGGACAGAGGTGACACACAGCACAGAGCACAGAGCACACAGCACAAAGCTGGGCGTTTGGTCTGTGGCGCTGACCAGGCTCTCGGTGAGCTGTTTAGCCGGTCTCCCTCATACCCAAACTCTTGTGGGATCCTGCGCCTGGCAGTCGGCGTGGTTGCCCCACACTCGCCGACAAAAAAGGTGGGTCGTCTGTAAACGTAGGCACCAGCACGCTCGCAGATGGCGGGTGAGCTGTGGGTGGCGGGTGAGCAGGGGTAGGAAGGCTAGGAAGCAAGCAGCGGCGCGAGGGGCGGTAAAAAGTGTTTGTTCGTAAAAAGTGTTGTGTGCCGTAAAAAGTGGACACTGGGGGTATCGATCCCCCTACCTCCCGCATGCGAAGCGGGCGCTCTACCATTTGAGCTAAGCGCCCAGACACAAACCCAAACCGCAACGCAATCGACGCGCTCAGACCAACACACACACACACACACGCACACGCCAACTCGCCACAAAACACACCAAACAAAACGACACACAACCGCCTCACAGCGCCATCCCTCCACACATCGCCAAGCAAGCCTCCGCACCCATTACAACGATCGTCCTCTCCACCAGCACATTAGCACCCGTGAGGCGCCAGCATCCACGCCTTGTCGATTCTCCGCGCTCCGCCATGGTCCACTGCCTCACATACCCGAAGCCTCGAACCGCCAGGCCGGGAGCCACCCGCCTCCGAAAACAAAAATGTCAAGCAGCTGGCTGACTCGAACCCTACTCGTCCGACCGGCCAGTGGCCCGGACAGAGGTGACACACAGCACAGAGCACAGAGCACACAGCACAAAGCTGGGCGTTTGGTCTGTGGCGCTGACCAGGCTCTCGGTGAGCTGTTTAGCCGGTCTCCCTCATGCCCAAACTCTTGTGGGATCCTGCGCCTGGCAGTCGGCGTGGTTGCCCCACACTCGCCGACAAAAAAGGTGGGTCGTCTGTAAACGTAGGCACCAGCACGCTCGCAGATGGCGGGTGAGCTGTGGGTGGCGGGTGAGCAGGGGTAGGAAGGCTAGGAAGCAAGCAGCGGCGCGAGGGGCGGTAAAAAGTGTTTGTTCGTAAAAAGTGTTGTGTGCCGTAAAAAGTGGACACTGGGGGTATCGATCCCCCTACCTCCCGCATGCGAAGCGGGCGCTCTACCATTTGAGCTAAGCGCCCAGACACAAACCCAAACCGCAACGCAATCGACGCGCTCAGACCAACACACACACACGCACACGCCAACTCGCCACAAAACACACCAAACAAAACGACGCACAACCGCCTCACAGCGCCATCCCTCCACACATCGCCAAGCAAGCCTCCGCACCCATTACAACGATCGTCCTCTCCACCAGCACATTAGCACCCGTGAGGCGCCAGCATCCACGCCTTGTCGATTCTCCGCGCTCCGCCATGGTCCACTGCCTCACATACCCGAAGCCTCGAACCGCCAGGCCGGGAGCCACCCGCCTCCGAAAACAAAAATGTCAAGCAGCTGGCTGACTCGAACCCTACTCGTCCGACCGGCCAGTGGCCCGGACAGAGGTGACACACAGCACAGAGCACAGAGCACACAGCACACAGCTGGGCGTTTGGTCTGTGGCGCTGACCAGGCTCTCGGTGAGCTGTTTAGCCGGTCTCCCTCATGCCCAAACTCTTGTGGGATCCTGCGCCTGGCAGTCGGCGTGGTTGCCCCACACTCGCCGACAAAAAAGGTGGGTCGTCTGTAAACGTAGGCACCAGCACGCTCGCAGATGGCGGGTGAGCTGTGGGTGGCGGGTGAGCAGGGGTAGGAAGGCTAGGAAGCAAGCAGCGGCGCGAGGGGCGGTAAAAAGTGTTTGTTCGTAAAAAGTGTTGTGTGCCGTAAAAAGTGGACACTGGGGGTATCGATCCCCCTACCTCCCGCATGCGAAGCGGGCGCTCTACCATTTGAGCTAAGCGCCCAGACACAAACCCAAACCGCAACGCAATCGACGCGCTCAGACCAACACACACACACACACGCACACGCCAACTCGCCACAAAACACACCAAACAAAACGACACACAACCGCCTCACAGCGCCATCCCTCCACACATCGCCAAGCAAGCCTCCGCACCCATTACAACGATCGTCCTCTCCACCAGCACATTAGCACCCGTGAGGCGCCAGCATCCACGCCTTGTCGATTCTCCGCGCTCCGCCATGGTCCACTGCCTCACATACCCGAAGCCTCGAACCGCCAGGCCGGGAGCCACCCGCCTCCGAAAACAAAAATGTCAAGCAGCTGGCTGACTCGAACCCGCCCAGACAGAGGTGACACACAGCACAGAGCACAGAGCACACAGCACACAGCTGGGCGTTTGGTCTGTGGCGCTGACCAGGCTCTCGGTGAGCTGTTTAGCCGGTCTCCCTCATGCCCAAACTCTTGTGGGATCCTGCGCCTGGCAGTCGGCGTGGTTGCCCCACACTCGCCGACAAAAAAGGTGGGTCGTCTGTAAACGTAGGCACC